TATGAACTGCCCAGCTTTCTGCCAGTGGACTGGAGCTCTGTTTCACACTCATGGTCCACAGTTGTGGTGATCAAACATACCCCAGCTGGTGATCAAACATACCCCAGGGAGAAACTACCTGGATATGTATAAAAGATTCACTTCAAAGGAAACAAGCAAAAAGATGAATAGCAAATAGCTTTGTCCTTCTCTCAGAGTCAAGATGTGGCAGAGGTATATCCAGCAACTAGTTTTGAAGGAAATTAGATTTGTCCTAGGTTTGAAGGTTTTAATTATCTGAGCATCTTCCTGCAGCAGTTTGCATATACACCATAAATGCCTGATGGAGTTTACCGAACACAGATGATTACACTTCACAAAATCATGTCTTTCCATCTGATTTCACCATCTAAATGTAAATAGGCAGGTAGACTTAGAAAACAGGTGGCAGAAGGAGAGGAAGAAAAAAAAAAAAATTAATACTGCACTTGGCCATAGGAAATTCACATGTAACACTGTCTGGAAACACTGGCACCCTGTGCACCTGGGTTTGCCCTAGCCACCTGCAGGTACAACTCAGTGACGTACCCTTCATTTTCAGGGAATTGTGCTTCCCTTATAAAGCTGTGTGCTATGCAGTATGATGCGGAGCTAATTTTTCCTTCCTGTACAACTTTTTCATCCACATTAACTAGGATTCAAGGGTATCTTCAGCTCTCAATGCAAGTAAACAAAATGCCATTACTAAATTACAGATTAGTTTCCATGCCCAGATGAATTTTGGAATAAGAGAACTGAACTTCAAAGCCTGGCAGAAGTATGTGTCCGAACAGAAGGACAAGAGCCAACCGTGTGGCAAAGCTGTGTTGGAGGTGGGAAGGAGAAACAGAGACTTCCCGCTCATGGAGATATTACCAGAAAGGGCATGTGTAAGAAACACGAGATAAATATACTATGCTTGGTGTTGGGGATTACTATCCCATTTTGGGCATTCACATTTAAGGAAAACGTAGTTAAGTTGAAAAGAATCTCAAGGAGACCAGAGAATAGTAAGTTTGGAAAAATTGCTTAGAAAATAAAAGAACGGGCATGTGTGTGTGAAGAGGACAGCAATCTCCATGCATGTAAGAAGCTGCTTTAAAGGGCAGATCGATCACCTGCTTATGGGCAGTGGTGGTAGGACACAGAGTAATTGCTTTAGCTTGCAAGAGTACATCCTGGGGGAGGGAGGTTAAATATGAGACTAGATAAACACTATATCTAAAACTGTTTACCTTGGGGACAGTAACAGCCATTACTTTCACAGGAGTTTTTAAGAAGAGGGCAGGCAAGCATATCTGACAAGGTAATACACCTCTGGTTGAACTACAGACAATTTTCTCTTGAGGAAATCTTGCATTATATTAATATTTTCTTACAAATGCTGCACCTATACTGAGCATGAAAACTGCTTTCTCGTATTAATGTCTCTTTATATTAACCATGACAGAACTCTGCAGACAGTTTTCTAAAGTGATACGTATTGCATATTTCTAACAACATGGCAAAGCTTGTCAGTGGGCAAAGAAAGCACTGAAAGGTCAAGTAAAGAATAGTGTCTTTATGCCTGGTACGTTATGAAGGTATGACTGAGAAATGTGCATCTATAAATGTATGGGTATATAATGTACATATACTGCATAAGAAAACAGCTAGGATTTCTTTACTCATTTGTCACAGGTTATTTTATTTCAATCATGAAGAAGATAGCATGCAAACTACCGCAATAATTGATTGCTCCTGTCGGTGATCAGGTTGAAGGAAGCCTTAGAAAACCCACATTAAGACTTTGCTGGTACATTCTACTCTAATCTGGTTTGTACAGTGAAGAGGAGATGATTACTAGGCATCACTGCAAATTACACTTGACTAAGACACTGGATATTAATGCCCGTTTTTCTAAAGTTAATAAAATCCATTTGCAATAGGATTGAAGTGAATAACTAGACATCCCAGTGTAATATCTACATACGCAAAGCTAAATGTATGCCCTCAAGGTTCCCACAATAAAACAGAAGTGTTAGTCAAATGAGAACAAGAGGTGCAGCAAAGCTCTATTTAGAAGACACCATGGCTTTTCTAAGGCTCTAAGCCAACTGCATAGCTTCCCAGTAGCTTTTCAGGCAGGATGAAATCCAGAAAAGAAACAAGCAGCAGCCTACACTATGGGCAGTCCTCTATCAGATAAAAGCTTCTCCATCTCAGGATGAAACAATCAGAGGTAAGTCTCCACGTCGATATCATTACATCTCCAAAAGACATGTACCATTTTATATACATGACAGAAGAAGGAGAAAGTACAGGAGGTTTATTACATTGTTAAGCAAGATTTCTTTCTTTTTTTTTCTTTTACTCAAGTTTTTACTCAGTTAAGGGCACAACAGCAGGTATAACTGATAGACCTTTGCAGAACAGTGATATCAGTACGCCCCAAACGGACATATGTCCCACCATACTAGGAGGCATAAAAAGTTAAAAAAAAATAATTATTGCTGGGTATGATTTTTTTTTTTTACTGGGTGGGAGCTAAATCAGCAGTGTAACAAAACCTGCTGAGAGTACACATGAAGTCTTACATCAGTGTGCCAAACCAACTCAGGCCTTAATTGTGGTATTCACTTTGTTACGCACCCAGCAGAAAGAAACAGAACCATGAATTTTGCATACTTTAAGAAAAATAATCTACCAACAGAAAACATATTTTTTACCTTCTGTTTTTAAGACACGAACTAAAAAATATCTGTGATGAATTTATGGTTTATTGACCAACTCTGGGCATACAAGACTGTACGGCCTCTGCAATGCAGAGTATAAGCCTCAGGGACTCCCTCAGATTTCAGTCAAACTTTGTCACAACCAACAAAAATTTTAAAAGGATAAACAAACACAGAAACTCACCCTTGTGGTGTAAGCAGCTTCTGGGTCATCTTCCAGTACACGAGAGAGACCAAAATCTGAGACTTTGCATACCAAGTTACTATTGATGAGAATATTACGAGCAGCTAGATCTCGATGGACATAACCCATATCTGACAAATATTTCATGCCAGATGCGATCCCTCGAAGCATGCCTACTAGCTGGATAACAGTGAACTGGGCATCATGTTTCTGCAAAACATTTGAAATGTCATTTCAGAGGTTGTTCATGCTCCTCCTGCACAGAATTTTTGATAAGGACCCTGGAAGGTCCTCAAATAAAGAGCTTGTGAATCAAGGGTTGTGACTTAAATGCCACTCGTGGAACTGCTTTGATCTGCAGAGGATAATCTCCCAGCCAGCTGAGGGTAGGGGATAGATTTTTAATTCAGATAAAAATCTATTTTCCCCATTCTTGCTGTTATCAGAATTTTAATTTCCTAGATGGGACCTCTGTCAAAACGGCACATAAATCTAAGTTTTGTGTGCTCAGGAGACTGGAGTGTCAGGACATTAGGGAAACAGATGTCCAGCCTCCCTGAAAGGGCACAGGAATTGTTAGTGAAAATCCCAGTCTTATCCAAAAGACTAATGAAAGTTTTCTATTACGCGAGCATTTTTTAGCAAAAGCAAATGCTGATCTGATTCAGTGGCTTTCAAATTCCATTAAATTTAAACTCCTTCCTCAAAATCTTCAACTTCAGGAACACAAAAATCACTTAAACACACTGTGACTTAGCCTAGAAACCAATAGTTGCATATATTTCTAATTGTCTACTTCTAGACACATGTTTTAAATCTCCCAGCCCTTACTAATGCTGTTTGTTAACATCTAGCTTTGATATTGATATATGGACACATAGACGACAGGACAACAGTACATCCTAGCACAACTCTCAAATGAATCCCTCAGTGCTGTAAATGTATCATCATGGGCAACTCTCCAGCTCTTCCTGCTGCTTCTTCCAGAATTTATTAAATACATGGGAGCTGGCTCTGCCATATGGGGTGAACAGACATGAATCAGTCGGCAAGACTGATTGCATTCATTTAATTTTTGATTAATATACTTACGGGCAATATTAGTACTGTAAATATTAGACAAATATATGGCACAGCAGATGCTTAAAGAGCCTCTCAGAATTTCCTTTCATGAAGAAATTAATTATTACAAAAGACCCTTAGCAGTTCCCTGTTATGAAACCTTCTTTAACAAGAGCCAACACAAGAGGATCTATATAGACTCTGGAAAAGATTTAGCTAAAAATCAGAAGGTTTCTAACCATGAAAGGAATGAGATGCTCAGATAGCCTTTCAATGGCAATGGGGAAAGCAAACTAACTAGTTTTAACGGCATTTATAGAAAGGCTTATACAGCCTGAGTTGCCTCTGATATTAATGAGTCACAAGGTCCTTATTTGTGTTTCTACACAACATTAGTAAAAAAAAATTTAAAAAAAAATCACACTGAAATGAACAAACAAGCTGAACAACTGTTTGTACAGTCAGAAATCATTCTCCTTTCCTCAGAGCTTTCTTCAAGGATTTTCAACCTAAACAATATATATATAGTTCAGTACAGATCTATTTCATTCAGATATACTGACACATTATTTATACGTATTTTACATGCTCCAGTGAACATCATAACATATATAGTTCAGGTTGATAGTATATCCCCTTTTGGGGTTAAACATCTTGTTCAGTATTATGAATTTGGGGGATAATGTCATTCAACCGTGGCAGAACCAAAGCAGTCTCCCAGCCATGGGTGAGTTTGCCCTAACAAATTAAAATTAAACTAGCGTTTCGCCTCAGAGGGGATTTCATTTCTCCTACATTTCTTGTTTTGCCACAAGTAAATCTTGGTGACACAAGGAGCATTCAAATTTTTTTAGGCTCACTACCAACTTTGACAGAAAACAAAGATAAATCAACAACAGTATTAGAATGTCTAAGGTTGGGGAAAGCAACTTTGCTTGCGAACCATTTCAAACATCCTCAGGTATGGGGTTATTCCCTAAACTTTTCACATTCAGAGAAATGGCTCTAGCCTCGGTACTATTGGTTTACTGATAAAATTTCCATAAATCCGTTCACTTTGGAAATCGCTTGGTAAGCTATACAGGCTGCCAACCAATAAGCGTAACTGCATTACAGCAGTAATTCAGCCCTCAGAAAAAAAAATTCCATTTTTTGGTGCCAGTATATTGCTTGCTTTTTTTTTTTTTTAATTGATGTGACATACTAAAAAAATGAAAATGTTTTTCATTTTGGAATAATACTTACTGCAAGCAGTCAAAATGGACTAGCAGATCCCTACCTGGCTTTCTGAGCACATCACAATGCACACAAACCCAAATGGAAATAATGAAATATCAGGCAACAAAAGCAACTGATGAATCACAGTGCAGTGGTAGCAAATCTATAACAAATTCAGAACAAGAGTCAGTCCTGCACCATGTAGTTCTCTATTGCACTTACCCGTAGGAAGCTGTCCAAGGAACCATTTTCCATATATTCAGTAACAATCATAACTGGTTTACCTGCAAATATATTACAGGGGTCAGGCACTTAAAATGAATACATAATGATCAGTAAGAACAGGCATTTCAGAAACGTGCCCAATTCTTCCAAATCCCAAGGAGGATTTTACATTTAGAAAGAAAGCAAAAGATGCAAGTGCAAACCCAGCTCTGTCCCCAACGTAATTGTGATTCCATTGACATCAACAGAAATACAGTCATTTCAGCATAAACCGATATGATTTTTAGCAGCTCAAGTCCCAAGAAACAAAGTGAAGCATCCTGCATTTTCAGTGCCTTACCCCTCACTGCTGAATATAATAATCCTTCACACAACCTTTGAAGTTATGCAATGGAGTAGGTGGATTCTGCCATGCATTTGTCCTCAGGTTCCCTCTGGAAGGGAACTGGGCACCTGCTGTGGAGGGAGTTGCAGTTTCTCCAGAGGTGCCCTGGTCTGCACAACAGAGGTGCAAGGACTGTGAAGCAGTGCTCACTGCACCAGCACAGTCAATATGTTTCTCAGATACCACAGTAAGGAAGAGCTTAAATAGCACACACGGAGGCAACAGCAAAAAACCCCTCTCCCTCACAGGGTATTTACAATGCATTTAAATTGTAGAGCTTTGGTATTTTCCTAGTATAAGCTGAAGAAAATGTTGGGGCGGGGTCAGAGATGGAAGGGAAAGTGCAGAATAAATGCAATACGGGGCATTGGAAAGATAAGCAGAGCAGTAACACAGCCACTTTCCACTGCTGGGGGTTAGTCCTCTTTCCAGGCAGTCCTGCCTCCCTCTGCTGTGAGATCACCAAAACCACGAACCTCCCCTCCCACCAAGCACAGCTCAGCTGGGGGGCGAACATTCTGCATCCATGGGGCAGCGGCATGCCCTAAAGAGCGAGCCCTGCATCCTTGAAAAGCCTCTATTATCTTTTAAAACTTGTCTGTGTAGATTCAGATCAGATTGTGAAACCATTCTTTCTACCCTAAGGTATTTTGTAACATAATTAAGATTTTATACGCAACTCTGACATGTTGGAGAGAAATGAATGCAAAAATTAATGTGATAACAGTGAAGTTTCCAGACAAAGGTCACAGCCCTGCTAATATTTTACCATCATATGGATTTTATTATTTCACAATATTTTCGGAAGCTTTGTTTATTTTCTCTTTGTGGTAGAGAGAAAGGTGGGTAAGAGCATGAAGTTATTCAAGGAGATGAATTATTATTTCACATATAATACAGGAAGGCATCTGACCATAGAAGCATGACAAAGGCCTGCATACTGTATATCAGGCATGATGATATTTTTAGCTTTTAAAATTGAACAGCATGAGGCTTGAAAGAGGTACTCGGTATAATTAAAAGCATGAAAGCCATTAAAAAAAAGTAAACGCTAACAACTACTTTTTTGTTTGTTTTTCAGCAAATACTACTTCTACCAAATAGAAATTCTTAGAAGAGAAATATTAATTTCAAAGAATGAGTTTAATATAATAACAAGAACATCCTTTGTACTCTTTGCATGGATTAATGAGTTAAAATATCTTCTTTCTGCTGTGCAAATGATGTGTTCTACTGTGGGAGTCACACTAATGAGTAATCAACTCTGTCATCTATTAACTAGTAGGAACAAACTCTTCATCCAAAAAATCAATCTTGACTTACATAGGATATGGCAGAGAGAAAAGACCTAACAATGTAAAATCTAAAAATAAAATAAAATAAAAATGTTGCTTGCTTACTCCTGTTAGCCAGCAGTGCAAGGAAAAGTACCTAACTTATACTGTGTGTAATGCTAACCCAAAGGCATTTCTGGTAACGCACAGAAAACACTGCTGGATCTTTCAAGGAAAGGGCAGCACACAGATGGGGCTATCTGAAACCTTATGTGATAAATCCATGTACTCTGAAACCAGGAGACAGTTGCCTGGTTTCTGTATAAACTCAGTCAATTTTATGACACATCAGAAGACTGAAATTAGAGTAAGAAGATACGTCTTTCAAATTATTAAGAGAGCATCTTCCTGCCTTGCTCACCCATACTCAGAAAGTCCCAAGTGCAGGGTTTCACTCTCATTCAGACAGAAACATGTCCATAATAAGAAGCATACGCTCTGAAGCAACACCGTGCACTTTTAAAAGAACATTCTGCATTCATTTGTCAAAGCACAGCTGCTTATACATGGTAACAACTTGTGTCAACAGTGTTGCCGAAATTTATTATTCTAACAGGCTACAAATTGCTGTAAATTATTAAGAAACTAAGCAGAACGTGTGCACTGGTTATTAAGAGTACTGCCTACAGCACACCCAGGAGACTGGTATAGCAGCAGGAAAATGCAGAACAGGAATCAACGTGAAGCAGGGGAACAACGGCACTGGAGCAAAGGACTGAAGCCTTATCTAGTGGGTGCATGTCCTTCACGCTGCCGGTGGGTTGTCCCACTGGCAAACCAGAGCCACCCCAGCTTGAGAACTTCTCATACTGAATGGTGCTGTTACAGGGATAGTGACAACTGCAGTTATTAGGAGTTGCTTCAGAAGATCTGCTTAGTATGAAAAGCTAGATCATTGCTAAGGGCCACCTGTCAAAAGGCATTTGGTTAATGAAGAAAAGGTGATATTGCCTGTTTATCATGCATTACCTGTACTGACAGTGATCCAGCAAATACTCCACAGGCTCTCTACTGACTGTACATTAACTAACACTTTCGAGTGTGATTTCACAGCTATCAAAAAATACGAACACTTGCTAATTTGTTATTACAGTATATTGGTTTGGTTTAAAAAACAAACAAACAAACAAACCACTCCACAACCTTCTATCACCCTACAGAATGTTAAAGAAAATAAATTAATGTTTTTATTTGCATTTGCACCATTACCATTTTACCCAGTAAAAAGGATACAAACAGCTCCAGAGCAGTTTTCTCAACTCCCATATTCAAGCTAGCTGGAGAGGGTGTTGTTTCCCTGAGGCTTTTACTGACTTCAGCTGGGAATATTCAGAGATTGCTCTCTCATACTTAAATGTGATAGGCAGCTGCACCCCCAACCCCCCCAAAACAGACAGCAGTGAATACAGCTGAGTAGCAAACTTACTAATAGTCACTTATACAGAATACAGGCAGAATTAGTAATGCACATTCAAAAGCAGTGCACAAATTCCTGCACGCACAGCAATTAAATTATTTTCTCAAGTGCCACAGGAACACAAAATGTAACAAAATAGATTTTAGCTCAGCTGTGTACTGACTGATGCTGGCGTTGCAAGTAATTTTGGGACTGCAAATCTTATTCTGACTGTATAAAGAGTGTGTCATTAAAAAGCAGGAGATAACTTGGATTTATACAGGCAGACCTGGCAGCCCTTTCCTAACGGGACTGCGAGACCTAAGCTGAAAAATAACTTCTTTGTTATTTAAATCAGCAAAATAGACTTTCATGAATCACACCTAGAGGAAAGCATTATTATTGTAATTACGCCTGTTCATAACATATAGCAGTTTACATACCTTTCACCAGTTATTTTTAGACACATCGTTGTGGTTTATTTCATATAATTTGTTGCAGTAAGCTGCAAAACTCTTTCATACCTGTCTATGTTTCTGAAACATTGAATTATGCAATTTAAAAAAAAAGATTCCTTAAAACTAACAAAGCCATCTACTTAACAACAAAGTATTCGGTATCTTCTACCCAGTTAAACTGGAAATGTCCTCAGCACATTCCAAGCAGCTCACTGAAATGGCAAGGAGCTGCTTTGCCAGCAGAGTCTGCTAGGATGAACTAGGAAACACCCTACCAATTTTTTTCTGCTCCCCTGAAAAATCTCAGAGCATTCCTGATTTTTTTTTAAGAATACCTCATACAAAATCTTATTGATCTCTCACCTAATAACTACTGCAGGTAGATAAATTTGATCATTAAATTTATCACCTTATGCTGCAATGGAAATTTAGAAAAGGTAGCTGAAATCTCTGAATTTATGTCCTGCAGAGCAAGCTGGGTTTGGTACTTCATGCAATCTCTCTTCTCTACCATCAACTATTTGTGCCTTTTCACCTCAAGGCAGAGGACAATTGGCAGCAACGAGAGCCAGAACTTGCCTAAATGAGACAGCACCACCAGCAGCAAATCCCACCAGCTGCTCCTAAGGAGAAGAGCATGCATGATCTGGGTGGCTTTGAGAAGGCCACTGTAGCTGTCATGGGAAAGCTGGGTAAGAGCTCTAAGACTGACACCACCGTTCAGGAATACCTGTAACAACTTGCTGTTATCTTAACAGAAGTAGAGCTGCAGAGGGTTTCTTCAACCATGTTACTTTTCCTGGAAGGTACCGCATGTAGATGGAGCTTTCAATTACTTTTTTTGTCTCAAAAAGAAAGGTTATCGTATTTGTTATCATAAACATAGACAAAAATATGCTCTAACCAAACCCATAACACAAATACCCAAAGGTAGATTTAGAAAATGTCTATTAATAAAAAAATACAGATTATCAAAGAAATAAAATCAATGTTACTACAGAGAGCTTGAAGCTCCAAGTTTTGGGCTTTTTTGAGATTTTTATTAAGAGGTATAAACTCTGGAGGATCAGGGTCTTTAAAATGCCTCACACTGGTACATACTGAATATCACATAGAGTATTTTGCCTGCATGAAAGCTGTGCAGGAAAAAGTCTGTACTTATTTATCAATTTACTAGTATGAGTCGCTGTAGCGAGGTAGGCTGCTCATTAATTTGTGCTAATGATAAAATCTAATGATGTAGTTGAAAACAGAAGATGTTGCTTCAGTGCAATTAGGAAAGCTAGGACATCAGACTCCATGACTCCTAACAGATTATCAGCAAGTGCCTCCTGGCCACTTTGTAGCAATTTGTAGCTATGGAGTTTATTAAACCTGACAGTTTATTACCGAGATGCAGTGTTCTTCAGAAATGCTCCTTTTTCTCTATTTTCTATTTTTTTTCAAGCAGACTATTTTTATTCCCCAATTTTTCCCAGCTCATCAACTCAGGGTACTGTTTCTAAGTTCTCAGCAGCCTGAGAGTAGCAAGACAGTGAAGGTCCTGCAGCTGCACTGTGGGCAATTACCTCCGTCACTATTCTTCATTGGATCCACCAGTGTGGGTTTAGCTAGTGTCTTCACTTCTTTATTGTTTTTCCTGCTTTTAGGGAAATACAATATATATTGCAAAAACCAAGCTATGTGTTTCTGCTGTCATCTCTTTTGAAGGACATTTGGTACATATTGACAGGGTTATAACATAACATTTCTGGAAGGCTTTGCAGAGCATAAAGATGGATGAAACAGTTTTTTATTTGCTTTTGCTAGTCCTTGGAAGATCAGCAAATCGCAGAATAATTTAGGTTGGAAGGGACCTCCAGTGACACTTCCCATGCACAGCAGATGCCCCCATCATATCTTACTTTTAGTGACGACTCCCTCTAACCGAATGATATTAGGGTGGTCAAACTGTCCCATGATGCTTGCTTCTCCCAGGAAGTCCCTTCTCTGTTTTTCTGTGTAGCCAACTTTCAGGGTTTTGATAGCCACTGAAATTTCCTTTTTAGAAGGCAGCTTTAGGCGCCCACTGCATACTTCTCCAAATTCCCCTGGAAAAGTGGAAAAATGACAAATGATGAAATATAATTATTTCATGGGGATTCAAGAAAGAAGACTTAGCATTCAGCAAAAGTCCCTGAAGTGTGACGTTTACTGGTGGGACACAGACTGGAGCTCCAAAGGAGGCCTTTGGACAACTACTTAACATTTCCATGCTTGGGTTCTCCAAGTGTCAAACTGGACAATGTCACTTATTTACGCTGCATATCAGATGACTGCAGAACAGAGGAATGTATAAATATCAGCAGAAAATTCCCTTTTTGTTTCCAGTGATTCACTTTGAGACACTAGTAGGAGGGCTAACTGATTAATGCACAAGTATCAGAATAGTCATGCATCCTCGTGAACGTTATACTCTTCATTTCTACCAGAGACAGTTAAGTTCCCAATTATTTTACTTATTTCAATTAAAGTAAGAAGACAATTCATAAAAGATGGACCTTATCCATACAGCTGCAAAGAATAAAGAAATCCATACAGATTATCTTTGTTCTGTCATTATTCAGAAGGATCTAATCAAGCAAATATATACTATCACTATGGGACTATGGGACCTGGTAGTCCACCATGAATATTGTGCCCACTGCATATAAGGAAGTTTCAGTATCGTAAAGAACATCTGAGCAGCAACTGACTTTTGATTCCCAATTAGCCAATCCCCTATCTTAGATTTCATATGATATAATAAACTGTACATACAACATCCTGCTTAAAATTACAGTAGCAACTTTTTGTCTCCTTGTTTTAATGACAATGTAATTGAAATAATGAAAAATATAATAAATACAGGAAATGGATAAAATACACAAGAAATATGATGGCAAGAATTGCCCTACATGATTATTTATATTTAAAGACAAGGAAAGTATTTTACTGAATACAGAAGAAAGATGTTTTATGTGGGTTTTCTTTTTTTTTTTCTATCAAGAAACTAGAGGGTGTTGCTGGAGGCTTTAACACTCATTTTCCCACAATACAGGCCTATTCAGGTTCTTTTGTCAAAATATATGAGATCTAAATATAAATATCCCCTCATATGCCATATTTTGTCAAATGGACTTGTCTAGAATGTTTGACTTGGAAACAAACCAACCCTATCAATGTAAGTCTAGCTAGCATAATTTTTTTTGCAAACTGGGAATTTATTTTTATTTGTGAAACATCATAAAAAATATACTGCTTACATATGAGCTTTTCCCAATATGTAATAATCCTAAACGCAGTAGCATCACTATGCCTCTAAAGAGCAAAGGCTTTTGGAGCTCATTTGCCCACAATGATTCTATCTTTATCTCTGCAGCTGATTGTTCACGTTATGCAATATCTGTGAAAACTAAAAATGACCAAAACCCACAGAAATAGGGTATTTTTAATATGCAAATGTAAATCATGTTGCTCTTCATAGATTCAATGCTCAGAAAGGCATGATGGATTGACAGCCCTTCACCATTGACTTCAGACGTGATACCACATGGGATACATTTTAGATGTTACATTCAGCCCATTTATCTGCAAATTGGAAGTATTCTTTCATCAACTTGCCACCTTTATGGCATTAGAGTTCATCTCACATTTATGGCACTGCAATTCAGGAACGATAAAGGGATTAATAACAATGACCAGAATCTTAAAAGTCAGAGCTGTATGTTCATGTTCAAAGCTCAAGAAATTGGTGTTATCTGTACACAACAAGGAATGAGAAGAGAGAGACATGACAGTAGTTTTGGCTTATCAAAATTATGGTTATAAATAAGATGGACACCGGCTCCTTTTTCTACCACAAGAGGCAAACCAAAGAATAGTTGCAATTTACAATAACAGTCAGTTAGATCAGAAAAAAAAAAGTCTAACAGTAAGGACACTTGGACAGTACAAAAGATTTTTTAGGGAGGATATAAACTCTTTTATCTTGGAGATCGTAAAGAATAAGCATCTGTCAAGAACGGTACCTTACAAGTTCTGTTTTGGGCACGAGTGTGGACTTACTGACCTCTTAAGGTCACTTTCCAGCTTTGTTTTCTAACATTACTCTGTTAGACAGCCAATTTAACAAAAAAATCTGAACAAATGTGTCATAGGGCAATGACCTTTCTCTGTTGCTAACCTAAGCTAGATTTGAATCAACAACATAGAAGTGAATGTCACTGTATCTTATCACCAGGTGCTGAGCTGCTTCATACTCTAAGCACGGTACTGTACTATTAATGTAATAACAAAAAAAAATTAAAAACAGGGCATACCTATATATACTACTAAAATAGCACTTACGTTACATCCATTGCTTTTAACAGTATTTGTGTTTCAGGCTGCCAAGACATGCAGCAGCTCAAAAAATGAATTGTAAAACCTATTACTAGTAACTAATGAGTGTTGAGTTCTGTTCAAACTTAATTAAAAATATTCAACCTCTGCAAGCCAAAATGACTAGTATACCACACCAACTGCAAACATTGCCTCATTTCAAATACTAACCCCAGCTCAATACTGTCAGAGCACCATAAAGAGGAAGGCCAAAGCACACCTTGACAACAGAAGGAAGGGAAAAAAGCATTTGAAATAAATCTTGTAATGTCCAGCTTCCTATTTCCTTTTCTCTATGTTTTAAAAGTCAAAAAAACTGTTACAAGCTAACCTCTTAAAAATATTGTTCAGTTACTGTCAATGGAGGCTATAGCTATGATTTCAGCAAGCAGTTCAGCAATCAATCCTTCATTTCTGACTGGAATCATATACCTGAAATTTGTTTGACTTTTGGAAAGGAAAATGTTCCGGCTAATGTTGATCAACACAGTCCCATGGCTGCACAATTTAGAACCCGGGTGATTAATCGGTTTCCACAAATGCCTCGAGGCCAGTGGATGCTGCAAGAGACTAAAAGTTGGACCCTTCATAGCAACGGAGCTCGCTGGTGTCTGTGAATATAAAATGGGTTTACTTTCTTGGGAAACAATGTTGTTGGAAAAAGCTCACTGGGCAGCCCAACTACATTAACCTTTTGTTCTTTCATATGCAGGGTAGTATGGATGCTACATAAATCTATCTGGTCAACACCCATAGTGACACACAGTTACACTACATCTTTTTCCTGCAAATCATTATTATACGGTCCCAGTAAGAAATGGACTGGATCACACCAGCTATTGTTTAGGAAGAATAAGGACTTGTGTTTGAGCGTGAAGGTGGAAAACCTGGCACTGATTTTAAGAGAGGAAGTTGATGGCTTTTCATGTAAAGCCTTTCTGAAGTGTTTATTTTTAATTATGCTACACACATAAACATTGTATAACCTGCCCTGCAGACTGATATGTCTATTTACACGTGGAAAGCAAATAGATATTAGGAGGGCTGTTCATGATATAAAGATCTCTCTTCAGGAAATCTTAATTTCTTTTTAAATAAGCTACTTAGTGCATTAGTGAATGGCATTTACTGTGCATTTAGACCCAGGGGACAGTTAAAAGATGACTCTGTGAAATTAGCTACTCCCTTTACGTTGCTGTGTTTTAAACCACAACTATACCACTGTGCACAGAACTCCCTCGGATTTGGAGAGGTACCCAAGCTGAATATTTCAAAAAACCTCATGAACCTCAGCAATGTTCTACAGGCACTCACTGAGACACTGAAAACTTCACAGTAAGTTCATGGATAGGTAGCCCCTAAATTTTAGAAATACTTTGATCAACAAGATGTTATACTACAAGTATGTTTAAACTTTGAAAGAAAAGCAAATGCTTGCTTTCATGTTCAGCAAAGCACATACTTAAATCTATCCCAAATCAAGAAAGTACTTCTGTAGTATTCTCTTGCTATCCAATCGGATTTAAACTTTTTAAGTGGTTTGCTGAACTGGATCCATAAAAACAAGTGAGTTGTTTTAAAAGAAAGAATTACTGTAAAGAAACTGTACTGAAAAAGTGGCTCCTGACCTCAATTTTCTTATGCTTAGCCTCCCACTAAAATCCCTTGTGTTTTTCTTGAGGTTCTTTTGGACAAGAGTATTTCCTTATTGCATTTGGGTATGTTTTCAAAGCTATGTAAGCTGCTCTTAATTCTTGGAGACTTCTGGATGAAGCTGTGAAAAACTGCTTGTAAAAGTACCTCAGAATATCAAGATTACTTGCCTGACTTGAAGGTCTCATTACTTATGTCACACTTCAATGCAGTTAAATGAATCCTTTCTTCTTAAATCACTGTCTTTTTATAATTTCATTCACACTTGCATTTGTAAAGGAGAAGGGCAGGAAAAGACCAAGTCATTCACTCAAATAAGTCATTGACTCAAGTAAGAGACCAGAAATGCCTTTCTGCTTTTGGGGAGGGAAGAAGTGTTCCTGCAGAAGCAGCCTTGGAGGCATTCACTCCAAATGCAAAAGCTATCACGTGCTGAATGTGACAGCAGTGTAAAGCGATGTTACAAATGCATTTTGAAAGCTCCCAGCACTCTATAGCCTGATTTTCACGTGTTCTTCCCTGCCTGGCTCTTTCTGTTGGCATCTCTGGCAACTGCTAATAGGAAATGCCACTGTAATGCCATATGTAGTTTAGGCTACATGGATCTAAGTCACAGTCTCCAACAAATGGCTTTACTATATCTTGAGTCTAAGCTTCAATGTAGAGGACCTGCAGGAACCTACTGTCACTTTCACTGGAGTGGAGCAAAGGGACTTATTTTTAAACCACCTGACTCTCGTAGAACATATCCCTTTTTTGAAGCCTCTCAGAAAACTCTTCCTCCATTTTCAGAGGGCATATTTGGCAAATGTTTACCTCTTATTCTCATGTGCATTCTGACTAAAAATAGGTCAGAACAACGACCTATAAAATGACATATCATTGATCCTTATGACTTGTTTTCTAGATTTGTACACTGCAGACAGATCAAGTTTAGAAAGTTTGTATTTACGAACAAAGGCTCCCGAAAGTCTTATAAGGAAAAATACTGCTCTTGGACATAGCTTTTCAGTAACCCCCCTTCTCTATCCCCGTATTAATTCTCTATTATGTGCAGTAAATAGAATTTTGCTGCCTTGACTGAAGATGATGGAGAACAGTGCACTCTTGTGGGGCAAAATTAAAACCAGCAAGAACAAAAATTCTACCTTTGCAGTAAATAACCTAGCTCCATACAAGCAGTGGAGTAGCTGCAGTAAAAGACTGCTTGGGTTTTTTACTGGGTGATTCAGGAGATGCACTGAGTACAGTAGCTTGGTTCTTCATCTTTTTTCCAAATGAAAATCTTTCGCTGTGCACTAGGAGTCTGTCTCTCTCACATCTCATGATTTTAATTCAAATAGTAAACTTGGAGAGAAACAAAAAATCAATAACAAAAGAACTGGTAATTTTCAATGGATTAAAAATCAATAGTACTTCTCACAAATGCTTTAATTTAGCAGGAAAGCTAACACTTCATTACCTTCTGACTCAACGAGACAATCTGCCACTTCACGGAGCAAGCACACTTCCTATCAGGAACTACATGCTGCAATGCAACATGGGCAACTCTGTTATGAGACTTTCTGTAATCTGGCTCCTCTGCTACAAAATCTGCTCATTTGGACAATTTGTTTTCTGTAAACCCAACAATCTATGGTGTCTGTATGGCTCAGACAATCAATTATCAGAAAGACAGCCCTTTCCTCCTAAATCGATAATTCAAATCCAAAGCAGTGACGAAAGTCAATCCAATGACCAAAGGTCACTGCAGTCTGATAGATGCGTGGTGACTGGTATGAAATGAGTTTATGGTTTCACTCAAGGCATAATAGTCAACAGTCCTTTCAAGGGGGGAAAAAAGAAAACGTCTTTAGAGTTGATACCATTTTCTGTGCTCACAGATTTTAAAGAGAAGCATAGAAGTGAGGATGAACTCTCTTTTCACTCCCAACAGCACTGTGTCCAAGCGTGGGCTGATGGGGTGTCCTCTGAAAAACTGTCTTGCTCTCTGCTTTCTTTGGTGAAGAAAATAGGACTTTGTGCCCTTAACATTTCATATGACCATTGTCAGCTGTAAATAAGACCTACTGACTTGAAGACTTTAGAACTTTGAAGACTTTAGTTTTCTTTCCAGCCACAAGTACAAACCCACAGATGTAAAATAGTATATACAGCAAAAAACTATCTTTGGTTCAATATATCTGATGGTCATTACCTGCTCCAACTACTTTATCGATGGATATATTAGAAGCATCTAGTTCCTTGGCAAACTCATGCACAGCTTGATTGGGATCCTCATATGTATGCGGATCTACGTAAGTTCTCAGGCCTGGGAGTTTTACTGTGTAAAAACAAATTCAGAGAGAAAATGTTACTTAGACTTAATTAATCCTTCTGAAGAAAGGTCGTGAGACAACAGAAATCAAATCAATAGAAGAAAAAGGTATACTGCTTCTTCAAATCAAAGTGCTTTTGATGGATCTCCAGGAATCTTAAAATAGAGTGAAACCAGAGACACTAATGTAGTTATTGCACAGAAGTCTGAAAACCAATTTTAAATATATCTGCACTTGCCATATTTAACTGCTTATCAAATATTAAAATACTACCCACCCCTCCCAGCTTGCTACTTTTAGATGCTGCCTTATATTGTCCCTTTTAAGGTAACAACAAAAAGGAAATGCAAGAAATGTGCGATGCTACAATCAACCTGAAAAGTTCTTAGAAATATATTAAGCAGAGAACATTAACTCAAACTTTTTATTTCAGAGCCCTCCAACAAGATGCGTAAGAAAAGAAAATTATACACGAACAAATGTGCCTCTGCCTCAATCCATTTCTAGTACATAGGAGGATGGCAGCTAGAAGTCTGGTTCTAGTGCTCAGTTACCTTAACATCCACGTTATTATTTTGTTCCCCCCCCTACAGTTTCCTGGCAAGGGCTTGTTCTGTTTGCCTGGGGTAAGAGCTAGTTCAAACGACTGAACGATTTTAAGGGCAGTTTCAAGCTTTCCACACCTCTTCCTCCAGCAGGACTGTGGCTGGGAGGAACAGATTATCACTCCCAACCTTTCTATCCAGCAAAGATGATGAAGGCAAAGCATAGCCTCACTCCCCCTCCCCAGCTCAAGGCCCTGGTTGTCCTTGTACCTGGTACCTAGTGCGCCTGCCTCTGTATTCATTTTAGAACATCAAGATGTTTTGTTAACAAAAAAGTGAAATAACCATTACATCTATCTTGAAGTTTTCTGTTTCTGCATTCCTGGACATGTATTCTAACTTTTCCTACCTGTGCCAGTTTATCCTGTAAGAGATACTAACTTCTTCTACAAACACTGCCTTAACCCACTCGGGAATATCATTTCCAGCTTAGCATTATTATATTGCATCAATTTGTTGACTGCTAGAATAGTTAAACCTTTTTTGCTGGGGTTACACAGATGGGAAAAAATGCCTTTGGACCATTAGTTAGAGCACACCATTGTTTTGTCAAACAATCCCAAGTGTATGTAAAAAAAAATAATAATCAATTTTACGGAGATTTATTGACCTCAGAATTGACAAAGAAATGATAAAACTGAGTTACCAAGCTAATTGCCTCGAAAACAATGAAAACTAAGAGCCATGCTCTTAACAAGGGCTGCGTGTGCGTGGCATTAAATGCCGACTGTGTTTCCTTCAAGAGCCTGATGATTACAGAATTACTTGCAAGTAAAACAAAAAGTAATTGGCTGTATATTGCTGTTGGTTAAAAATCTTGTAAATGCTCCTTTCCGTCCATGCTGAATATACATTACAGGCTCCTTCATACCCCACAATAAAAATAACAACAATTAAAAGCTTCTGCACTGTGGGGTTTTTAGCTGCAGATTTTTAATGCTGACCCCAGAGGTTCTCAAGATCAGGTGATGCTGACTGCAAGGAGAATAATCCCTTCACACCAATAATTAAAGGCAGCTTGTATAGTAACTGGGTTCTGTCATGAAAAACAGATAATAAACACATGCACATGTGTTAAGCTGTACTACTTTACAGCTCATTCTGTGCAAACATAATAATTTACATTTTCATTTTAACAGCATGAATTGCCCTAAAGGTAGCAAAAAATAAAAAGAGGCTAGCCAAAGAAGGCAAAGGGAGAGGATCTGAGGTGGGGAAACATTTTTGCTCCTTTGAAGTAATATTACAGGATTTGTAATAAGGCTGCAGGGAATAGTTCATGGCTAGAGCCTTTTTTAAAGTAATTCAGAATAAACTGACTGAAATAAAACAGCTGTTGTATTTAAGATGCTAAAAGTTTATGACAGCCATGGAAGTGACTTTATCCTTTTTTATTTCATAGGAGCAATTTTCTTATTCTTGGAGAAAGACTGTAATTTAGTAGACTAAAGTGTCAACAGCCACACACGTACATACATACAAATCCTAACAGACAAATATCTGCAAAGTCAACAAATCATTTTCAAGAATTTCTAACAGAAATACCAGGTCCACGATTGGCTCTGTTCTCACTACACAATGAATCAGCATGGCACTACTCAGAAAACAGTACATAAATATCTAAAGCCAAATTAAAAGCAATTTAATCCACAGGAACTTAACAGCACCAACATGTTTAAGAATAGTGATTGCAACTTTCCATTGTGTGGGAGTAAGGAGAGCAAATTCTGACCTGTTATTTGTCTGTGACACTTTTTTTACTGGCTGCTTTTATTTTATAACCTCATTAAATTTGGATGATGAAGCATTAAGTCTATGGGCCACATGTAACCATATAGATTTTTTTTGAGACTAGCTGGTTAGGAGTTGTTGGGCTGCATGAAGCAAACCCACTGTTGCACCTTGTATGTCCCCTGACAGTGCAGGGGAAGGAGCACACGTGTTGTGGATATGCATGCTCACGGCTCTCTGGAGATACTGAGGAGCTTCAAACTTAAAATAATAATAATATGAACAGTTACTCCATTGTCACAGGGATTAGGAAGCAGTTCTATTTTCCAACTACTGCAGGTAAATCCCTCATTAAAATGTTAATTCAATTATATTTGGTGAGGAGGCATCCGATTATGGTACCAACGGCTCTTTTCTTGCAGATGGAACAGCGCTGCTGTTGTGCGCAAAACACTCGCATACATTAACCTTACAACATGCTAAGCATTTACATGGTGTAGTGGGGTATTTATCTCGAGCTGAAACAGTTTCAAAGACAAACTACTGCTTCTTACTGATAGACACCAAGAATTCTGTGGGTGAAAAAAAGGAATTTCCAGTCTTGGTGTTTATGAAGGGCATTATCTTCGCCCTGTAAGGATGAAAAATATCTAAAGTGCAATGATAAAAAACCCAAGAAAAGCACCCCCCTGCACTCCTGATCAGGAATGTTAAACCATCACCTTCCTCCCCCTCACCTTCTCCTGTTCCAAGACTACTTTATTTCTATTTTAAACAAGGTATAGATGGAGCTTTGACTGTGATCTAGTCTTCACGATCCACAGCTCCTCTGTTGTGGAAAAGTGCTGTGGGGTTATGCGCATTGCAGAGAGGATCCAGGATCAGAGAGGAGCTGAAATACTGCAGGACGCCATTCCCCTCCAGCCACAGGCCATAGCAAGCTACTTTTTCCTAGCAGCCAGGAGACACACCCAGGCTGAGCGTCTCCTCGATGGGATCTTGCTCCACACCATTCCTTTCGCAGGGCACAGCCAAATGACCCAGAGTAGCCATGAATAAAGTCCCATTTAGTCTTGTTAAAAATAGGTATGCAAACAACAGAAATACATAGGCTTTGGGTTTGGCTTTTGAACATGTTTCAAATATAGCCCGGATTCCTGAGGACGAGCAAAATCTCACATCCTTAACTATATACAATTTTTGTGATACAAGATAACGTAAATCAATAGCAAGACCCTCTTCTTAGTCCTAGATGATACCCAAAGAAAGCACAGAGATATTCATTCTTGCAAGTAGGGAATCAGGACTTGAACAAAACATGTTTGTAAACAGAGCTGGATTAAAAAAATTCCATCAACTTGAGACACTTGTTTAGTAGTTGTTCTTAATTAAACTACTCCAAAACACTTTTCAGCTTACCCTTAGAATAATTCCAAACTAAATTATTAGTGACTCAACTTTGTCAAGCAAGAAATTTTCACAGTCCCTTCAGTAGTCATCAAGACAGGTTTCATTGATTTTATATTTTGTTTTGGGGAAAAAAAAAAAAAAGTAATTTCTTAGACTTTATACAGTTGATAATGAGGAAGTTGATGTTACACTCTGCATTTCAATAATGCACAGCAGAACCAATATCATATTGCTAACCACATGCGTTGTTTGAACACAGACGGCAATGTTTTGCTCATTACTAACCTGAACACAGATGAAAGAATTTGAAACAAAGAATAATTTTTTGGGGAAAATCTCCTTACCCACAAGAGAAGAGAAAATTCTCTTGCCAATTTCACCTTGGTTTAAATGAGGTAGAACTTTTTTTTTTTTAAATGAAAAATATCAATTATCTAGGGGATGAATTCTACAGATCTGGAAGCATTAAAAGGCTTCAGTAACTTACAATGGCCATTCCCAAAATGTAGTCTTTTTTCATCAGTGCCATGTTTAGACTTCTTGTATCCACAGAATCTACAAGCAACAGAGAAAAAAAATTAACACAGGGAATTTTTTATGTTAACTGTAGGTGAAAACAGAATAAAATGTTTTTCCTCCACAATTAAATGCCTGTTTGAAAGTTTAATGATATTTACATTCTCTGTGCCCTATAGAGGCATGTTATGTTCTCAGGGAATTTGAGGAAATTGGCTAATGAGTGGATTTGTTGATTTTTGACCCCTACAGTTTAATTTTACAATTGCCTAAGAATGTGTTTATAGCATTTTTTAACAACTGCTGCATGACTGGGGCTGCTAACGTTAGTGGGCTCATTACCGAGCATGAAACAGTATTTGGAGCTCCTGGGCAGCAGACAAAGGAGAAGGAGCAAACCAGCCACGCTACTGCCCGACGCCACCCAATTTGCCATGCTCATCAAGGCCCCTTGGGGAAATGCAAGCGGGACTAAATGTGCAAACCAGACAATAAACTAACCTCCCAATCAAGACGTACACCACAACTGTGAGGAGAATAATGGCTACGGCCGCTGAAATGGCAATCATTACGACCTGGCTATTCTCACTGGAAATGGAGAATGCTGGAAAGTTAACACAAAAATATATAAATAACGCCCCACACATAATATTGATTACATCACAGTTGACACTCATATAGGGAACAGCCAGATTAAGTCATCACTATATAGCATTTGGTCTCCTGCCAAATATTTAAACTATTAAGTAATTTTTCGTCAAACAAACAAATACAAGGAAAGAGAACAAGACTCCAGACATCTTTGACAATTTACCAAAGGTATTTCTACTATTGCTGATTTTTACCATTGCTAATTGTAGTAACTGCTGTTAAACAGATACTTATACATAAACATACATGTAAATACAAACATACGTACCATGACACACAATCATTTTTGTCGTGGTCAGTAAGGAATTTTTCCTTGGCAAGAAATCCCAGCCAGTCAATAATCATCACCCTCACTCTCACTTCTGTATGATGGAAAGTGCTTTAATGAATTAGGCTTCCCAGTTAAGCTTGACAGTATCCCTGTGAAGCTTGTGAAAAGCCTGGGCACGCAGAAGCACATAGAAGGACTATCCTTGGTTAATCAATGTCTACAGAAAAAGAATGGCTATTTTCTGCCTTATGTTGGATGCTTCCCTGTTGTCCTCAAGCATGGAGCTTTTGTGTGCTAGACTGCTTATATAATGACATGACACCTTTATATCTCAGGTGTTATGAGCAATCTTCAGCAGATACCTATCAAACTTCACTGAGCATAGCAGAATTAAGCTCCTCAGCACTATGCTTCCACTTAGCTGTCCAAACTGAGCTGAAAGCTAGCACTCCTGGTCCCCGCAAATTAAATCGGAGTCACACCATTACCCTAGGGAAGAAGCCTCTGGCTATTACAGACCTACAGCTGCACTCACGTAGTTATGATAACTTGTCAACAGGAACGAAGTTATGCGATTTGTGGTCTATCTGTGTAACTTGTATGCTCGTTATTGGGATGCGCACCACTGTCTCCTGTCACTTTTCACATTTTCTTTTTTCTTTTTTTTTTTAAATATTACTTTGCAGAGAAAACTCGTTAACCTCTAAATTAAGAAATTTGTTATCGGTGCCATTGATCTTTTTCTCCTTGCTGTACCTATTTGTCCTATCTTGAGTTCCTGTTTCATCTAGTACGCCAAAGCTGCATGTCACTGTGACAGTGATTTGTAACTATTTTATTAAACAAGAAGCTTGTTTGCTTTTCAGAATTAAAGCTGAGGTGGGGGAGGAAGAAGTAGGGGTGAAATACATAACATATCTCAAAAATACAGAGATGCCAAGTGAAGGACCAATTGGCTTGATGCTACTTTTCTTGGTCAAAATTTTGTTGCTTTTAACAGAGCAATTCTTACATCATGGGTTCTCAAGCTTTACCATGAGTACATGAATAAGCCTTATGCAAGCGTATCAGAATTATAGTCCTTAGTTGTGCTGTAACTCTGAACAGGAGACATGAGTCTTCTGTGAAAACCCAACCTGCTAAAAAGCAAACAATCTTTGATTATGTATCATCAGTCTACATTGGTAACTGGGTACCTAAGCAAAGGCTGACTTTGTGATGCATTAAGTCACTTTCATCTTCTAGCAAACAGAAGGTCTGATCTACTATATAGTACCAACTGATGAGAAAGTAACATTTAAGATAATAAACTCTATTAAGAGTGTTTCTGATGTAAGAACAGAGCTTGCAAAGAATATCTATAAGGTCATCAATTAAATAATAATATTATCTAGGCATTAAAGAAAGAAAAAGGAGTGCCAGACCAGTAAATAAGTTCCCCAAGGCCACCCAGAAATGTAGTGACAGAGAGAAGAAGGGACCCAAACAGCCCATCTCCCTAACCAGCTACTCAACTGCATGACCATCCTTCCCAGCATGTGCATATCAGTTTCATCTCAGAGCTATGTAGAAGGCATCAGCAATGCTCTGCAGTAGCATGGAGAATTATACAGTGACCCACAGAAGTAACAGATCAATATAATGTTAATTCTCTAGAAGCAGGGGTTTATAGTCCATAGGGTCCATGCCACAAACTTGGAGCAGCACAAGGCTATGAATCTGTTTTTCTATCAAACTTCCTCCCTTAGTAAGAGCCATGGTCTAGCAAGGTACTGATTCTGGCACGAGGCAGAGATTGGGTAGGGTAGAAAATATCACCTGTGATAATCATGGTATAGTCTTTATAGCATGTTTCAAGTTTAATGATAAAAATATAAAGTTATATAGTAATTCTACCCAAAAAGACACATCATAAATAGTTATAAGTTGCATTTACTAAACTAGAAAAGGAGTGAAAGCAGCTATTCAAATCAGTTCAGAAATTGGGCAGGATGTCAGTATAAACCATTTGAACAAATACATACAATCTGGACTGGTTTCAAATTCAAACTTGCGGCTGTTTGTCCCATATCCAGCTGCAGTTCGGGCTCGAATTTGGAAGACGTAGGTGGTATCAGGTTTGAGGCCGCTGATGGTAACATTGGTGCCTTTGGCTCTCAGAATAGTATAGCTTGTCTCTTGTTCCTGCTTTTGAATAGAGAAATTATCAGATTAAAACCACACCCTAAAAAAGAGAAACAAGAGCTGATTGGTACAAAATTCCTACAAATCACCTGGAGAGCATGTGTTTTGAGTATTTATAAGCCTGACAAATGCTTGTACAGCCATTCATTTTCAATCAGTAAAAATCTTTTGATTAGCAAGAAATCTAAATCATTAGAGCTTCTATGGCCTTGTGCTATAAATCAAAAACTAGACATGCTGAGTATATGACATTTCATTAAATGGCTTTGCATCATTTTGTCCATAATATGTAACACAATGAGAAAATGAAGATTAAAATGTTATTTAAAAAATATAAACCAGATTTGCCTACTGCACTTAACTGGAAGTTGTAACAGGCCAACTTAGACGTTACTAAAGCCATCCTGTACTGAAAGAGCATTTTTATCTTCCTAAAAATGGCAGCTGGAACTGCCTCAGAAAAAAATCTTGAACAGCAGCCACACATGTGGGGAACTGTGAGCATCTCAGTTGTTTAGGTTCTCAACCACAATCTTTTTTATCCTGGAGGTGATGGGGATTTCATACGCTGCCCTTGATACTTTGAATGCTCTGAAATACACTAAAACAATTAAGTTTCACCTGGTTGAAAGCAGAAACTGAGTTAAGAGAATGTATGTCAGATGTAAACAATCTTACCTAATTCCCACTATGCTTATGGCATTGCACTAGCTTGCAACATACTCACATTTTAACTTGGACAACACTAGAGTGCTGATGCACAAGAACAGAAGTTGGAAAATACTCAACACACTCATTGTTAAAGCCAACTCACCTTCACATGAAAAGTTCAAGTGACTAGAGTTGTTTGAGTGCATTTGCTCTGCAGTGCTGTCCAGAGTAAGAAAGTTAGGTTTACTCTAAGTTAGTAGGTGGATGTCAGAAACTGTTCACTCTGGTGGTATAGAAGCCTAACTACCCTGTTCTCAGCAGTCTTTGATACAGAAACAGAAACGTTTACACCACAGCTATGGAAACTGCCAGAATCTCCACGTAACATTCCACATTATGCACATGAGTAATCACAGTGAAGGGGAGTGGGGAGGGGGGATG